GTGATCTCAAGGAAAGGAGATTCATCAGATAATTCAGGACCATAAAATGGAAATTTTGAGGCATGGGGTGTTCACAAACAACCACCAAAGACACTCAAAAGACCTCATATTCAAATAAGTTAATGGAAACAATTAGCATCTACATATGTATTCAGGAAATGTAATGAATATGTAGTAGAAATGTGATGAATATGCATTAGTTCCATGGATATAACCTGGCCTGTTAGGTTGCTCTTCATGAATGCTTTGAGGATAAAACCCCATGCATCAAGCACTGCTAATAAACTAATGCCAGCTTTCTAACCTAGTAAATTTATTGGGAGACTTTACTTCCTGGCTTTTGTTGACAGGAAGAGATTGATGATTATTCTTGCTATTTTTACTTCAAAAGCTAAGGTGTTATAGACCAGATCAAGAAACAGAAAAAAAAAAAAAATTACTGACAGAAAAGAGCTTTAGAATGCAGTAGACAGAATGACTTGTGACTGGAAAGACACCACCACAGAAAAATAGCAGTGATTGGGATATAAAATATTTATTTTTAATAGATTGTAGTTATATACTCTTTCTTAAATTCAGTTGTCCACCCAAGTTGGCAAACTTTGCTTATTTTCTGTGTATTTTCAGTATAAGAAAGTGGTAACATAGGACACAAATAGTACGTTAGCATTTTCAGTGTTAGGGTTATCATGTAGACAGAACAATGCTCTGTGTTCCATCCAAGGGATGGAACTGCAAAAGAAAATGGGCTTTATAGGTTTTCCTGCCACAAACACAGCTGTGATAAACCTCCCTACATCTCTCCCACTGTGCTTGCCCTGCTTCCATAATCTCTTTCATTCAGCATTTCTGGTTTTCAAAGGTCAGCTTAAGAATGGAAAAATGCTGACTGAGGTAAAAGTCAGCCTTTCAAAAGTCAAGAAAATTTAACTTCCAGGGGCAAAGTATACTCCTGCCATACATATTGGAAATAAAGCCATTTCTCTCAGTTACGAGCAGACCATAACTACCTCTCCAGGCAGGTGAAAAAGAATATGGGGCAAGTAAGCAAACTGTTTCTTGTTGTGTCAGAAGGAGGTTCTATCAGCTTGCAGAAATACTGATTATTGTTTTGGCTCTTGGTACCTTTGCAAAAACACTTAATTTTTTTTTTTTAGAAACTGATTTTTTTTTTTATGTTATTTGGGTTGTAGGAAATCATTCCTTGCACTGCAGAAGAAAACTTCCATTTTATCACTCAGGTTTATGCAAAGACTTTGGATCTTTATAGTGCAGCTTTGCCACAGGTGCACTCCAAGGAGGAAGCAGACTTACACAAAATATGTTAGTGGTAATGGCAAGTGGGACAACAGACCTTGCTCACAGGAAGGATTAAGCTCCTGGAGCTTTAAAACATAATACAGGCATGGGTGGTGCTGAATTCCCTTTGTCCATTTGATCTTAGCAGCTGTTCCTGAAGTTGATGCTATTCAAAGGAGAACTCCCCAAGCACTCTGCTGTGCATCATGGATCAGGTTTGGGTTATGTTTTTTTAAAAGGCTGGCCAGGAAAGGAAAAGTCTTTGTGGGATGCATTCAGGAAAAAGAATCAGAAAATTCTACCTTATGAAAAACTGTAGTCCAACACAATCCTTCACTGATAATGCATCAGTTTGGTATAACATAGTCTTCGTAAATTGGAGTGAGAAGTAAAACCCAGCTTTCTAAAGTGATTCTCAAGAAGGTGACATAAGGAGGATTTTGGTACAGAGAAAGGGTGGTATCTTTGGAAGCTTGGGGTATTCAGGGATACAGTCAACTAGTCAACTATTTAGTGTATTCTCTTGAATAATATCATAAATATCCTGTAGCAGATGTCAGGTCTTTGACAATAACCCAAATTGTAAGAGTAACTCCTTAAACAGTTTTTTCCTTCTTTATTTGGGTTTGCTTGAGTCTAATCAACTGAATTATCTGGAGTCTCCTTTTATTTTGTTTTATAATTCAGTTTAAAAGTAACCAAACAACTTGTGTTATTTCATAGCTGTTCCACTCTGTCATGCAGACTGTTAGCCTAAAAATTGATTGTAGTTCAATTTCTTTTACAAACATATTTTACAGAATAAATTATTGGAGAAATCTTGAAGATGTATTTATAATTTATTCTTTGTAATTATTTGCTAAAAATTTGGATTAAGAATTATAATGGGGAAAAAATTAAAGAACCAGAAGAAACTGCTTTATGAAGTGAAATATACAAAATAACTCAAATATCTCAAAACTTAAATTCAAGATGGATTAAACCGTAGCATGAACAGTAAGACAACAGGCTCCTATAATTCAGAAAGTGAGGGGCTGATCCACAGGTTGTTTGCATTTCAATTCAAACTCATCTTCTTAAGTACATTCAGAAACCCTGTTTGCTGGAGTGGTTTCTATAGCAGTGTCCTGCTTGATTACAAATCAGCAGGGCTGACGGAGCCTGGTCGAGCAGAAGCTCATTAAAATGTCTGATCTGGTTATGCAATAGGCTGGTGGCAGCCTGTGACTCCTTTATTGTCCCCTGGTGTAAGAACTGTGACTCGACAAAGCCCAGCTCACAGGGCTTTTGTGTCTCTTTGTGGAGATGTGTAAAAATAACCTCAAAGCCAGTCTGTGGGTTGTGCTCTGCACTAGTAAGAGCTTTAAGGTCTGCTCTCAGTTCCAGCTCACACATTAGGAGCTCCAGTCATGCAGTGATCTTAATGGATGTCTCTGGAGCCCATCGGTGGCTCCAAAGATGCAGAGACCTACAGCAGGTTACAGGACTTTCCATTCTTAAGCCCACCTGTGTGATCCTTTCCCTCCTCTCCACCAGTGTCCCACTACATGAGAGTCACTTGGCTCAGTATTTAAAAGACATTCAATTTCTGGCTGAAAGTTTCTTCTGCTCCTGCACTTGGACAGTGAAATTTCAGACTAATCCCTGTTAGGTTAAATAAAGCAGAGAGAAAGATGGCTTTCCCCAGGAGTTTGGCCAGGGACACCAACAATCACAAAAATATCCACAGATGAGACGGTGTTCTTACCTGTCAGAGTAACAGGTCTTTGTGCCAAGCCAAAGCCATGGAAAGCAAACTAAGCTTCAGGAATCCAAGTGGGTGCAAAACAAAAAGGATGCTGACTCCACAGAAAATAAACCACAGCCAAAACCTTTGAATAAAACTGCCTCAGGGTGAGTGACAAGATGCCAACTAAAACAAGGATTGCCACTATTTCACTGCTCCCCCCCAAAATTGTCTACATAGTTAGGCTTTTGCACAGGCCCTGGTTTTTATTGCACTCTCATCTGAGTCATACAGCTCATTAATTCTATTTATTTTATGTTTTTGTTGGGCGAGAGTTCCAGCAGCTTAGCAGGTGAATTGGCTCACAGGGTGTTCCAAATATGCTAGAACAAGTGCAAGACAATCTAGGACAGAAGAAAGAGAAAAGGAAGAACAGGGAGAGGAATGGGATTCCACAGTTTTAGTGTCAATGAGGTATTAGATACTAAGCCCTTTCAGGGACCCACAACCACATGTTTCTTTCTGCAACCTTATTTCTGATTAAAGATGGGAGCAGATATTTCCCTCATTTGACTATCTCCACACATAATAAGAGTACCATAGGCAGTTTTTTCTTCCATTTTGGAAGGCAGGCACCAAGTAAGCTTTCACTGAATTTACCCCAAAGACCTTTGGAGGAAGATAAAACATCAACAGGCTACAATGCCTGCAGCAACTCAGGTTCCCTTCTGAAATTGTTCAGACAGTAGTTCAAGGGACCTCTTCCATGAAGTAAGGAGCAGCACAGACAATGCCATTTAGTTTAACTCTTTTGAAGAGTTTCGGTGATGCAGATATTTCATGACAAATTTTGATGTTAGTAGCTATAGCAACTCATGCCATGAAACAGCTGTTCTCCTTCCCATCTTATCCTGTACTACACATACATCATCTTTGGAGAATATGTGCAATATTTTGCATGTCTGCTTCAATCCCCATTTGAAAAAGCTTCACAAAAATTTGTTCAGCATCTCACACTTGTGAAATATCACTATAGGAAGGGCCAAATGTCACTGAATTTTGTGCATTGAACTGCGCTCTGTCATTAGACCAGCTGCTGAAATAGTTGTGCAAATTCCATTACCAAGCACTAAGGCACTCAAAAGTGTTTGAAATCATGTTAGTGTATTTGTAAAGGAGGAAGAGCCAAAGGTAGCACCAGGGAAATTAAGAGAATCTCCCACAGTTTGTGAAAAGCAGCAAAATAGTATTTCAGGGGAAAGCAATAAATGAAGTGTGTTTTTTGGTACCTGCAGAAACAGTGTGTGGTTTATCTGATCTCACTCCAGGAGTGGTGTTAATTTTAAACATGTGGGAAATTAAGCACCAAAGTATTGAGTGTCTTTAGAGAAACCCACTCCATT